CTGGGGCTCTGGGAGGTCATGTGATATAGGAGAGGGCACAATAGACCTTAGGTCGCGGTGCATTACCTCAAATATTCTATCTATCTATCTATCTACCAGTCAATATGAGAGTAACTTTATTGATAGGTCACTATTGTTTAATATCAAACAAAGATGAAATCAGACATTGACATCTTCAATATGAAGTATTTGAATACTGGACCGTTTCATCCGTTGATGAAATATGGACACCAGCCCACAAAATACACTAAACCGTTGTTTTTTAAGGTTGCTCTTTGTTCCAAAATGCGGCAATTTTGATTGTTTCTATACCCAGTGAGTCATAAACGAGCCTCATCGCTGAACAGAATTTTGGCTCTAAAACTTCGGATGTGGCTTTTGTAAGTCGAGCGGCTTCAGTTTCCTCAAAAACTGTATTTTGTACGCTTTAAATTTAAGAACGGCTCCGAATCGACTCTCCACGGACTTCGTGTACACTCTCAGCTACGGCGGCTATATTTTCCTCATTGCGTGCTGGACGTGGTCTATTCGGTCCGATATTATCCAATAATAAATGCTGAGTTTCAAAATGGTGTTGCGAATAGTACGCTCGGTAGGCTAAGTTGACCATAAGTTGAGCGAAGCGCCCCAAACACATTGACCGCTTTGTAAACGTTGCTCAAGCGTAAGTCTTGATCTCTACTTGGTTCACCCGTTACAGTTTATAAATGTTTAAAATCGATTCTGTTGTCCATATATTGCCATTTTTAGTTGATTATCTTTTACTATAACTTTATATTCAAAGGAAAAGTCGATGCATACATTTTTAGTAAAACTTATGTTTGACAACTTCACTCCATACTTTAGTCCTTAACTTAGTCTTCCTTTACATAATATAAGGAACCCTAACCATCCTGTTGCGAAACTTACTTAAAGCTACAACAACCAAATTTGCAGAGTACAAATTTTATAAGAACCTCCACCGACAGTGTGAAAATGAATGAAATCAGAATATAACCCCGCTCACTCCCCATATAACGGTACGGTTAAAAACTACTAAAAGCGGGATTACTCAATAACTCAATATGAAAGAAATGTTAAAATTTACCTGAGTTAAATCGGGTAAATACCACCCTGAGCCTCCTTTTACCTAATATAAAGATTTTCGAACTTCGGAGGACTTCATGTTGTCACTGCGCCTAAAATAAATAAAACTGCCCTAGCTTCCATATAACTAATATCAGGCTGAATTTACTCTTCGTGATTCTACACGGAGTACCTTAATGAAACCCAGGGAACATTTGTTAGACCCTGAACAGGGTATATTAAGTTTGTGATGAAGTTTGTAACACCCAGATGGAAGCGTCGGAGATCCTATAACGTACATACCTGCATATATAAATGATCAGTATTCTGAGCTGAGTCGATTTAGCCATGTCCCTCAGTTTTTAAGATATCGTTTTGAAATTTTGCGAACGTCATTTTCTCTTCAAGATGCTGCTCATTTTTCGGAACTGCCGATATCGGACTACTACTACATATAGCTACCATACAAACTGAACGATCAGAATCAAGTTCTTGTATGGAAAACTTTCACAAGTTGGCACAGGTTATTTTCAAAGACAATAATGTAATACACCAAGAAACTGTTCAGAAGCCGAATTGATCGGAATCAAGGGCTGGTATGGAAAACTTTTGCTTTTGAAGTGGTATCTTCACGAAATTTAACATGGATTACTACTTAACAATATAATCTTCGAAAAAATTGTTCAGATCAGATATTTCTATAGCATATATGTAGCTTCCATACAAACTGAACACATAGTTACTATAATAAATGCACCTGTGAAGGGTATATTAGCTCCCGTGCAGCTGAAGTTAACATTTTATCTTGTTTAGTATATGGCATGATAATAGTTAATAGACAAAATCGGACAAAATTGATTCTTGCAATTATTCAAGTGCCCTGAACTTCGCCCTTTCTTATTTGTTTTTAATTTTTCTTTGATCATTGAATTTTTTTTTAATATTCTTTACACTTTACATGAATATTTTATTCGATTTTTACTGAGTTCAGCGCTCTCCTTCTTGCTTTAAGTTAACCGTTAACAAACTGAATCCAGCGTTGTTTCACTGCCTATTTAGACAAAATCTCGGTCTCATATTTGTGAATAAAAGTTGTGCTCGTTGTGCATTCGCTTTGATCAACCGCAAGGAAATAAACCACACATATGTATACATACAGAATCGCTAGAAAGTAGGTAAAATGAAATATGTACATAAATAAGTACCAAACATATATGTAAACTGTGCTCAAATATTTTTTCATTGTAGCTTCACATAATCTACGTACTTGTTTTTCTTATGATTAGCGAGTTCGTAATGCTTATTCCACTCATTACCTGTCACCAAAAGGCCCATTAGCTCTATATGACTTGGCAAAGGTTTCCCAGTTGCAGCATAAAAAGTTTACTAAGTACACCTGAACGTAAAATGGAATTAAACCCCTTACTGGTTTCGCATTTGAAAATCCCTCAATGAGCTCCTTTTTCATGTCGCGTTTAAAAAGTTTTAAATTCATTCATTTCTCAAAAGTCGGCCAAGCGAGCGGAAATTTCGGCGTAACACAAGCTCATGCATTTAAACACACAGGCTTACAAAGTCGTTGGGCCACGATTTTTACATAAACGGTAAAATTTAATTTTTACGCTCTCACCCCCACCCTCTTAACTTCCTCCATTAACGCTCGTAAACTACTACGATCTGTAGTACCGGCAAAATTCGCATTTTATTTATGCATATAGTTGTTGTTGCATATATATGGATATGCAATATAGTATATAGAGATGTTTGTTCACACAGGTATGTTTTATCTAGGATGCTCTCACGCGTGCATGAGAGTGCAGCTTTCATTTTCAGCAATATATATGCTCTACTGCTTTGGCGTTTCACTACGACTGCCTTTGTAGTTTTTTCCGGAAAAGTACACAGACGCATATGTTTTAACCCATAGACGTGAGAAGGTGCCTCGGCTGGTCAACATTTCCACAGATGCTTTTGCAGCCCCGTCGCCTGCTGCTTGTTGTCACTGAAGCGGAAATGTGCGCGTATGCTCATGAACGCCAACGGCTGCCCTCAATGATTTCCGGTTTCAGTACATATATACATACTCTTGTTCGGAGGTACACTCTCTATACTTATACTCGACGTTACAGCTGTTGTTTATATTGCATTCGTATTTACATGAACAACAGAGTCCAATATGAGTGAGATTATCTGTGGAAGTAAACACAAATTCTCTCACATGGAATTCTGCTCGAACATTCTCTCGTCACCAATATTATACTCTCTCTAAAAAGCTTTATAGGGTAAGTCAGATGTTTGAAAATGTAAAATTACATGTTCTATTGAAATAAAATAACTTAAATTTACATTTATATAGGACGAATCGAGATTGATATATATAAATTATCAGCTTGATGAGGTGAGTTGAAATCGAGGTGACTGTCTGCTTATTCGTTCTTGCAAGCAGTAACTTTAATAAAAAAATGAAACTTGGTATGTGCATTCCTTAGAAAAAAAGTAAGGACGAGTTCCTAGATGGGCGTAACCACTGAATTAAATTAATATATAGAGCTCTAATTCGGCACAGGATATCGCAACGCGAAGGGGCACCTGCATCTCCTAAACCACTAAAGCAGCAATAACCTTATTCGTCAATGTGTGAAGTATGTAATTGAAGTACAGAGAAAATCCTTTCGTGATAGTAGTATGTCTGTGTATTAGAAAGGGGTTACATCGGGTCAATACTTCCTAGTTTATATATAAAGAATATTCTAATAAAATTGAGAAAACGTGTTTTTCTTATAACAGTGCATCAAGTTGGGTGAAAACTCGGCCCAGACACAATTTAACTAACAAGTCTTATGTATCTGAAAGTACTTCCCTAGCTTTAATCTTAGCAAACTGCAATAAAATTAAATATTCGGTTAAAAACGAAAATAGCTTCTTTTTACTTATTTTATTTACAAACTTATTATATTTACAAACTTTAATCGAGAAAGATCTCATTCCGTTAAAAAGATTGACTATTTATAGAAATCATTATTATAAGGAAAATTATCTTTCCAAATTTCAACAATATGTCTCGCATATTAATCAATATTTTCGGTAAAATGTCCGACAAAGGCACTAATCTGCATATTCGGTATGTAAGGGCTTGAACAATTATGATCCGATTATGACCAAGTGTAGACTTTATAAAGCAAATCATAAAGGCACCAGTGAATAAGGTTTTATTCCAATGAATTCTTTATATACGGTAAATTGGAAGAATCATATGGAAGTTCAAATTGTGTTATATGGTAACTAGGCATGTTTGTTTAAATTTTGACCATTTTTGTACCATAACATATAAAAGAAAGTTATGGAGAAGGGGATTTCATCTAATAGTATCTGCTGCAATATACTATATGGTTTTTGTTTATTTTGAATCTTACCAGTATCTTATAATGAAATGAAATTACAATTTTTCCTTACTGGGCTTCAGAGCTTCGTAAACCAACTCTCTGCCGGCCCATTGCATTTCCAGCAACACACTGGTTGCTTAGTAAGCAGTGAAATGAAAACAAAAGCGATTTGTATGCAACAGAGACGGAAAGCTTTCGCTGTGTTGCCCCGAACGAGTGGCCACTGAGCAAATGAGCAAGTGGTGGTTGTGGTGTAGACAGAATATTCAGTTTTCTTTGTAAATTAAACGTGAAAACGACGCAAAAACTTGGTGCAGCGAAATTAATAAAAAAATTAAACGATTAATAAAAAAGCTAAAGAAATTAAATAAATTATATTTAATAATATTTGATTTAAATTGTGTAAGGGTGAAACAAACAAGTGCATTTTTAATGTGAAGTTCATGGAAACCTCACTATATCTCAATGCAATTCATTCGAAAGAGATTCACACTTCAATGGAATTCTAAAATCAATGCCATTCAAAGCCGCAGACCGCCAGGCCCATTGTGACCATTCAATGCACAAAAGATATTACGCATTACTGCATTTAGTACGCAGTGAGTTGTAGTAAAAACTACGAGTCTAAACTTATTTACATATAGCTACATATTTGAAACAAAATCGAAAACTTTAAAGCACTTGGGAAGGTCCTGCACACACATCCGGAGCCCCTACAAATTAAACGAAAAAGAGGTTGCTGAAAAATTTTGAGCCATTCCGAAAAGCAACAGCAGCCGATGCAAGAAAAACGGATACAAAACAACGCAGGCAGCAAACAATAAAAAAAATTCAAGCGAAAAACAAATGGAATAAAAACAAACAACAAAGCGAGACACGCCACGCGCGTCGGCCACTGCACGCTCCGACATAGTGATTTCGAGCTTTTGCTCTCGTGCAGGCGCAATCGCATCGCTTCAGCTTGCAAACGTAAAAGTCCAATGCCACAGTTGTCTCCTGCTTGCCTACCAACTTGCGCTCAGCGTAGGCATAAGCGACAGCGACATCAGGCTCAGCTCAGTCGTTATCAGCATCGCAGTTGTTTCAGTGGCTTGGCGCACCTGTTCGGCTGAAACAGTTGCTTTTGTCCGTTTCGCATGCTTACGCTCATCGTAGATTTACACATCGATGAAGTAATTTCGTGTATTTGTTGAAAACGAAAAAAGTCGCTCATACGAGACGGTGTCTCAGTTACTTTGCCGGTGTTGACGCGTACGATTGCACAGTGGGTGTAAAATGATACAACAGTGTATTTGTAATCGCGGAGGAGCATAAAATACAATAAAAACAAACATTTTAATTAGTGAAAATTGTTTTTGCAGAACTGACAGTGAAACAAGTGAAAATTAATAACACAACAACATTCCTAAAGTACACCCTAGGGTAACAAAGATAATATGTAAAAACAGCACGAAAGTCCAAAATATGGGTCACATATGCATGCAAATGTAGAATGTGTGGCATTGTGGCATTCATGTAAATTTGACGCACAAAGAAAAACAATCCAATTTATTGGCACTTCTGTGAGTAATAAATGGGAACCAGCAGCACAAAACTCAACAATACAACCAGGAAATCTTTAGCAACAGGATAACAAAGAACCTACCAACCACCGCTTATAAATTATTTAAGGTAAGTGGTGGAAGGCAGCAGAGAGTGCAAAATTTCTTGTGCAAACTTATAGTATCTTAGATGTACAAATATAACTTGTCATAAATAATGGTTTTGAATCCACAACAACAACAGGTATCGAGTTTCGCTCTTTAAGGTCTTATTGCTCATGTTTTCTAGCAAATCTTCCAAATGCTTATTTATTTGAAGTTTTCAGCAGCTGCTCTTAAGTACCGATTATCATGCTTAAAATGTCGATCGTTCATGAATACTAAAAATGAAACCACTTCAACATTTCATCTGTCTGGTCACCATTTACCAAAGGTCCAAAATGCTCAAAATTTTTAATCTATCCAGATAATAATATCTAAAGAGTTATCCTTGAGCTTGTGAACTCTGAATAGCTTACAGCTTTGATACAGACTTGTTTCATATATAGATAAGTTACAATTTTCACAATAAACGCAGAATCTGGATTATGAATCAGTAAGTTCGAAAATAAATTTGCATTACGTCTCAATGTTTCCGTATTAGAGCCCAAAAAGCATATGTTCCAGCAAAGTATTCTGAAAAACAATAACCGTTCTTCGCTTTTGGGTCTAGATGACAACACACAAATGGATAAGAGTAACGCCCGTCCTTAACATAATTGTATCCCAAGGCGGGTATTACTAAACAATACTCGGCATTTTAGTGTATATGATTTCAAAATAGTACCCGGTTTGTTTTTCCAAAACAGGATCAATAAAATATGATATAATGTCTAGAAAACCATTCATTTTTCATTAAATTGGATTTTCTTCAAATATAAAATAATTTATAACCTGTTGCCATTTTGAAGATGTGTAATTTCATAATGCGTCTCTCTAGAAGCTGTCGTTAGCAAAAAACTGGGGCAGTCGATTTTTCCAAGCTTCTCTTGGCGAGATTTTTTCAGGAACGAACTAATTCTCTGCTGAGAGGAATAGCTAGTTATCGCTTAAGGTGTATGTATAAGAGTCAATCTGAAAGAACTTCTGGAAAGTCACAATTGATGTGTGCGGCCTGTCATTATTCTAATTGAGCACAATACCTCGCGTTTTCTTAAAAACTATACGGGGTTCAACAAGCTTTGGGCTCAGAATCCGAACAACACTCATCCAACCATTCATAATGGTTGCTTATAATCATTTATAAGCAAACAAAAATTTCTTTTTGTAATGCAAAACTTGTGACACACAAAATGCTTTGTCTCACAAACCAGTGGTCCAACAGTTAGTGGTTTCGAAAAACTTAAAACTTTTGAAACTCTATCGCAATTACAATGCGGATTTCTTTCGAAAGCAGCCATGGTATTGTACTGAAGTACCGTGAACAAGAGTCGAAAGAATTTAACAAAGTGCATATTTAAATACCTGTAACAATCCCTTGACAATACAAAAGCTAGGCTTCGGATGAAAATAGTAACTGCGTGTTAGCTTCAGAATATAGTGGAAATTACAAAGATCACAGACGCATTTGAAAAGCCGTTGCGTGCGTGCTAAAGTGTCGCAATTGCAAATGCGTCCTAAGGGCATCATTATATGGGCTGGGAAAGCACACATACAATTGCAGTTTTATGCGTATTTGAAGTTTTTATATTTATTTCTTATTATTTTCATTTCTTTGCTTTGTGTTTTTGCATGACTGCAACTATTTGTTTAACATTTTCAGTATTCTTTATCTTCCAACTATCTTCTGTCGCCTGCTTACTTTTATGCAAAAACTGTTTGCAACGCAATCAAAAAACTGTGTGCGTGTTTATTAATAGCCCACACATATACATACGCGCCTATGAGTATGCCATGGTGTTTGCAATGAGTTGCAAAAGAACTCACTTCGCGCACTTGAGGCCGACGACGCAAGAATGCCCTTGATCTTTGCTACAACAGCGTCAGCACCAAGAGGCCACCACACACGTGCAAATATGCCTACAAAAGTTGCAAACCAACAACGTTTATTTTTGCTTGCGCAGACCTTTTCGAAGTGGTGCGTATATTTGCATTGCTCAGGTGGATCTCACCCTGCACTTAACAGCGTGACTATAACACACGCTGGTATGTGTGTGTGAACGCCTTTGGAAAACTCAAGCTCTTGTGGACATTTCTTGGTTTTCTGCGCCTTTATTACAGTTCGCGGTCGTTTTACATTTTCGCACTGAACACGTCAACAGCAGTCCGCAATGACATAACCACGTGGAGGATGCGTCCAAAGACAATGTTTTCATTGCACACAAAGTATGCATACTGTAAAATTTCTAATATTAAACTCGTTGAGTGAGAACCTAATATGGAGCACCGTTTTATAAACCGCCGCAAACGACGGTTGCTTTTTATATTTCGGGAATAGAGAATAAAAATAAATATTAAAAATCGAACTTCGCTTTATTCTTATATATATTTCATTAATGATCAAGATGACGAGAAAATTTGAAATTCAGTTGACTATATGTCAGTTCGCCCGTCAAGCTGTAAGTAAAAATTTAGACTTGATGAAAATCAGTGTTTTCTTTGGTACAAAAAAATTTCGAGTTCGCCGCTCCCATAAATCGCCTTTAACCGAAAACATATAAAGTGCCATAACTAAGCACTAAATTAAGATGTAGAGCTGTTATTTGGTACAGAAGATCGCTGTCGCAAGGGACACCTGTGGGGTGAAATTTTAGAAAATGTGGGCATGGCGCCACCCTCTAACAAGTTTAATATAAATAGCTCCTAAACCACTTAAGCTACAATGAAAGCTGAATACCAATTTTATAAGAACTTCTACCAACAGTGTGAAAATGGATGAAATCGAAACCGCTTACTCCACATACTATATAACGGTACTATTAAAAAACTCCAAAGACATTAAAATTTACCATCACGATAGTATGAAAGAGCTTTATGGAACCCGGTGTGACAATTAGACAATGAGCGTGGCACCGCCCACTTTTTGGCGAAACCCCATATCTCGAGACCCGTCCAAGCGATTTCCACAAAACTCAGTACGTAGCATACTTTTTATACTATTATGTTCCATGGTGGCAGACGAAATCAGATAACAACAACGCCTACTTCCCACATAATACAATTTTAGATTCCACTTAACTCGTTCAGTTATACTTAAAATTAAGATTTTCCAACTTCCGGGTGACTTTGTACCGCATATATCGGCTAATATGTGAGTTGTCTTAAAAAAATGAAATAGCGAGTTTTGCTCATAGCAGTGTATCTTTGTGTCCAAATTAGATTTAAGCGAAAACTTGGCCTAGCTCCAATAAAACAAATATCGGGGCTTTCGAAGATCCGACTGACTTTACTCTATATGATTGGTTTTACACCTTAAAGTATTTCGCTGGCTTTAATTTTTGCAAGTTGCAAGAGTATAAAATGTTCGGTTGCAGCCCTTCCATACTTGTCCATAATATTTTTGAACAATGCATTCTGAATGCATCAACCGCCTCTTCAGGTGTCAAGAAACGTTGACCTCTTAGTTTATTATTTTAGTAAAGAAGTCATTCGGTGCCAAATCCAAACTTTTCGGTGGAGTACTCATCATATCGACATTTTAAGTGCTTAAACATGCGGTTGTTTTAGTCGGTACATCAGAGCTCGCATTGTCGTCGTAAGGAATTATCCGTTTTCCTAATTTCTCGAAAGACAACTAGCAAACTTATGGTTGTGTACTTCTCAGAATTTACTGTTCTGCATAGTTCTAGTAATATGGTTGCGACACCTCCAAATATTCCAAAAACAAAAATTTCACGATAAGTCACATAACGATCTCTCATTATCAGATTGGGTACAGCATCAATAGTCTCTGGAACGAAAACTGATTTTGGACTACCTTCACAAAATTCGTATTGGAGTGACCAACGACCCGGATTGCATTCAACATGTCATCGTTAAACACTGGTGTTTGAAGGAGCTTTATCGCCAATAATATAATTAAGTTCATCGATGCGCTATTGCTGAGATAATCCACCACGAAAGTTGTAAAAAATAATAGCACGAAAAAGTTCGGGATTTGATTGAGTTTTTTTGGCCGAGATGAATATTTAAAGTTGTGAGTTGCCAGATTGCAACACCAGAGTTGCTAAATCCCCAAACATAAAAGACAATCTGCGAACCAAATATGTGAACGTTAGTTGCTTTGCGAAATTTTTACCGAAAATATTGGTCAACGTGTCAGATATATTGTTGAAGTTCGAAAATAATTTACACCTGCTTTGAGCCTTCCAAGTTGCGAGAACATAAAATGTTCGGTTCACACTTTAGCCATTCCTTGCAAAGGTGCTCATCAAAAAATACCTTAAATATTTTTTATAAAAGTATTGCTTTAAAATTTATACGTGATTAAACTTATGCATGAAATGTACTGAACATGCAAATGCCTTATAGTTAAATTCTGTGTTGCTCATACACAATGGTATACTGATGAATGCTCAGTTACTGAATTACACATAACACATTACAAGTGCGAACTTTGAAAGGAAAAAATCATTCAGACCGTTTTTTACTACTTTTAATTTTTACAAAAGTAAAAGCTTTTTACGATCATGTTGACCTATTGTACATATTTGACCAATATTTAGAAGACAAATGCTGGGTTGTACATAGTTTTTATATCTAAGTTTAAGTCGTTAATAGTTTTTATATCTAAAAGCCAAGCAGATATTTAGCTACCAAAAGAACTGCTTTCGAAAAAAAACATTTTATCTTTCCCTCGATGGTGCGTCGTGAGTCATTCTTACTAGATCACGAAATTGTCGAATATACTGTTGGGTTATTACCACTTTAAAAAGAAAAGTCGTGAATGACGGTATCATACATTGATATATGGATGACGCTTTAAGTGCACAAAGAGCCCTGTAACTCACAGTCCTAGAAGCCTTCTAGAGGCGTCACAGAAGCGCACAGTGACAACGAACACATGGCCTGAGCACACTTAGCAAACAACAGTGACTAAAATATTTTTAATTACCACTCATAGTGAGCGCCCAATGAGCTCCCCTTTACTTG